CCGAAAGACATATGCGGCATTTATTAATAAAAAATTTAATTTTTATTAATTTTTTATATTAAAATGCCGCTCCGAAAGTCAAATGCAGCATTTATTAATAAAAAATTTAATTTTTATTAATTTTTTATATTAACATGCTGCCCCGAAAGTCAGATGCGGCATTTATTAATAAAACAATTAATAAAAATTAATTTTTTATATTAAAATGCCGCCCTGAAAGTCAGACACAGCATTTATTAATAAAAAAATTAATTTTATTAATTTTTTATATAAAAATGCCGATCCAAACGTTGGAGGCAGATTTTTGTTAAAAAAACTACAATTTTGTTGTTTTTTAATATTAAAATGCTGTTCTGAACGGCTGAGGTGGATTTTTGTTAAAAAAATTTTTTTGATCCGTCAGATACGGATACGGATTCGGATTTGAATACAGATTCAGATTCAGATTTATCAGATTCAGATTTGTCGAATTCAGATCGAATCGGATTCAGATTTTTGGATTCAGATCGAATCGAATTTTGCCCAAATCCGATCCGATCTGATCTGTGCAGAACACTACTTTTGACTCTTTCACTTTTATTTTTGTTTTTTTCTAAATAAATTTTGTTATTATTATTTGTTATCATATATTATTATATCATATAATCAAAATAAAATTTTATTTCATTTAAAATTATTTTTTAAGTTCAAAATATGAAAGGTATAAATTGATTTATATACAATTTTATATAAAGTTTATTTCTAATTAGCTAAAAAAAATTAATTTAAAAATAAATAATTTATTTATGTATATTATTAAAGATTTCTTAAAATTTTTTACGTTAATTTTAGTAATTACATCAAGTTTTAATAGTTTAATAAATTATTTTAATTAGTTTTAATTTTAAAAATTTTTTTAATAATTTCATATAATATTACTTGATATTGATTTTTAAGACAAATTATAAATATTAAATGTCAGATATTAATTTTAAAATATGTTTCAAATGACTAAAATTTTAGATATCATTTTTAAAATATATTCTGAAAAATCAATATTCCTAATATTATTTTAAGATAAATTTCAGATGATCAATTATTTTAAACATCAATTTTTATCTCAAATCATATAATATCCAATTATTTGTCAAATATTTCAAAATACATATAAATATTTTTAGTAGTATTTTTTATATGTTTATTTTATAGAAAAGATTTTTTGATTTTTTACTAATTATTTTTTAATTTTTTTAAGATAGATCTTTTGTAAAATCAAATTGATAAGTCTTTTTTCTTTTAATGAATTTTTTATTATTCTATAAGGTTTTTTTCAAGGTGGATTCTTATTAATTTAATTATTCTTTTATTTTTTTTAGGAATAAATCTTTACATAATCAGATTAATAAGTCTTCTTTCTTTTAGTAGATTCTTTAGATTTTTTTCAAATAGATTCTACTAATATTCCTTTATTTATTTTTTAGAATAAATTCTTTATTTTCTTAGATAAATTATATAAGTATTTCAATTCTTTAGAAATTCCTTTAGTATGATTTTTAATTCTTTATTAATTCTTTTTATTTTCTTTTTTAGAATTGTTCTTTTATTTTTTATATATCTTTAAGTATTTTAGGATTTCTAATTCTTGATTTTTAACAATTCTTTTTTTTTTTAGAAATGAATCTATAAATAAATTTGTATAGTATTATTTTTTAAATGTTTATTAATAAAAATTTTAATTTATTATTACAAATAATTGTATTAGTATAATTTCAATTTATTATAATAAAAATATAAAAAATTTTAATAAAATATATTTATATTTATAAAATAAAATTTTATTTATTCAAAATATAACTAAATTAATAAATTTAAAATAAATTTGCATTTCTTTTTAAAAAAATCAATTTTTCTATTTTAATTGATTTCAAATTATTTTTTTTACTAGAAATAACATTATCAATAGCTGAAACAAATGTTCATTAGAAACTGATATTGCTATTATTCCTAAATATTTTTTAACTAATTGACTTAAAAAAGAAAATTTTGTTTTGTTATTTTTCCATCAAATTAAAGGCATAATTTTCTATTGGATTTCATTTAAGTAATTATCGACTTCATTTTCATCATTTTCATCAGAATTTTCATTATCATTTCCAAGTATAATATTCATAATAGAATTATTTTTATATGATAAATCTACATTACTTTGTATTTCCAAATTATTATTATTATCATTATTATTAAATTTGAAGATTTTCATATTTATTAATAAGTAATATGGTTGCTTTTGTATTTATTTATTGCTATTTCTAATACTTTTATAACTAAAATAATTAATCTATCTGTTTCTATTGATTTGAAAATATTTAATTTTTTTTGACCTTTTTTATTAATTTTAATAATGTCAGCTACTGTATTGTATTATCAGGAATTTCATTAAATTCTTCTAAAATTTCTTTTTAAATATTTGTATCAGAAAATAAATCTACCAATATATTAGAATTTTCATCATTTTGATTATCTTATAAAAATCTAACATTTTTTTAATATAATTTTTTAAACTTAAAATCATTAGATATATTAGATATACTAAAGATATAGTAATATAATTAGATTCTTCTAATAATTTGATAACTATTTCAAATTTTTCCAAAATTTTAACCAAATCTTTCATTAAATTCCATTCATTTTCATTTAAAATAATTCTTTCTAATTTTTTTTCATTACTATTGTTTTCTTTATTATGATCAGCTTTTAATTTATTTGGTAAATAAATTAAAGTTTTTTTTAATTTTAATAATCTTGTCTAAGAATAATATGAGAAATTTTATCTAGTTAGAACATTTTTAACTGTTTTATAAACTTTAGAATAATTTAAATTTTCTTGTGCTGCTATTAAATGTTCTAATTGTTTAAGTGAATTAAAAAAGTATACCAACAAAAATCTGAATATTTTGATTCACATTTAAAGCTTTTTCTATAACTAATTGTAATGTTTGAGAAGCACATAAAATTCTATTAATATCATACTCCTCACTCAATAATCTAATAGCTTTAATTATGCTACCAGCATAGAATCCTGAACTATACTAATAGAACTCACAAATGTAATACAAACATGCAATTAAAATATTATTGTATGGTATGATATAACTCGGTCAATACTAATGCTAGAAAGATGGGATTACTACTATAAGATTCCTTTTGGTTAGACGAATCCAATGATAACTTTTGGCAAAGTTTATATATAAACTCTACGCAAACTCAAATGTGAGTTATATTAGTATAGTTCAGGATCTTACCAGCATTACCTGTTGTAATAAAAGATACTTTATGATTTATATTCCAATTATTTATAATATCTTCTAATTTTTCTTTGATAACTTCACCAGTATGTGGATATTCAACATATTGAAAAGCTAAAAATGCTTCTTGCATTATAAATTCATTTGATATCCAATGTGCTGTAATTCCAATATATTTATGTTGTCCTCTAGATGTCCAAAAATCACAAAGTTAAACTAATTTTATCTATTTCTTTAAAGAATTTTTTTAAATCATCTCTTTTTTTATTAAAAAATCCAGTTAAAAGATTATCTAAAAATTCTTCAGTTGGAATCTCAAAAAAAGAATTTAAAGCTAAAACAAATTCATTAAAGCCTTTATTTTCTAAAATATAAAATGGCTGCTCACTTTCAATAATAAATTTTAAACATTTTTTTTTTAAAAAAAGTGTTTAATCATCACTTATTGGATAAGATTGAATAATATAATCTCTCATATCCTTTTGTTCATGAATTTTAAGCTTATTTAAAATAAAAAAAATATAAATTAATTAAATAAAATCATATTTAATATAATTTAATTTTAAATAAAATATATATATTTATTTACCTTTTCTTCTTCTGTAGAATTATAAATTTTATATGCTTTAGATAAATGATTAATTATATTTGTAGTTGATAGTTCATTCCCTTTATCAAGTTTAGGTTATTTTACAAGTCTATTAGAAGTTTCTTTAGAATTATCATCTAAAATTTCAATATTCATCCATTATTTTTTTGTGAAAAATAAAAAAAAATTATGATGATTAAAGATGGATGCCATAATTAAGAAGTTGCAACTCGGTAAGTTGCAACTCCTTGTAAATTTATTTTAATATA